CTGATCAAACACACAAAAACCCACACATGTGCAATAAGACTAAGTGCAATATTCTTTTCTGACAAAGTTGTATTTTTACTCAGTTGTATATAGAATTTGTATTCTATTTTTCTCCTATTGTATATTTTATTATATTTTATTCTACTGTATATAGTATTTTATTTTATTCTATTCTGTACAGTTGTGTACTGTATTTATTCTTATTGTGTGAATGCTTCACAGGCATTCACACTATTGAGATCCTGTTTCTCTTTATTCTTTATCCTTTATTATTCTAGTTGCTCCGTTTCTTTGCCGCTTAACTACTCCCTCATTTTTCAGTCGATTTTCACAGTTCAAACTTTAAACTGTTCTGCTATTTCTGCTATATCTGCTATATCTTTTGGTGATGATAACTTTTATACTTTTTGAGATATTCAACTTTTTATGCCATTTTTTGGCCCCATTTTGCTGACAGGGACCACATTATCAGTGTGATCACCAGTTTTGCTTGCTGGACTGAGCCATGTTTTAGCTCAGTGAGATGAGCATCCACATTTTTTTTCCTCTCATCATATCTCTGTTTGGGACTGGAACTGGTTTGGCGCAGTGGGATGCGCAGCTACTGTGAGATCTCGTGGCAAGGGTTCAAGTACTACATGAGACAGATGCTGCACATCCTCCCTGCTTGCATGTAATCTGCTTTCATGACACTTTTCAGTGTAGTCTTTCAAATACACAGCACTCATGCTGCATTTCTGCAGGAAATGCAACTTTTTCTAGTTATATTCTAATTTTTGCTATATAACTTTTGCACTGTCCACTTCCTGCTGTGACAAAACAAATTTCCCACGTGTGGGACTAATAAAGGTTATCTTATCTTATAGTGATTTTTTACTAACCAGTCACTCATTCATTGATAATTCATGACTACTCAGAATGTTTTTGTTCAATGAATACATATGCATATATATCAAAAGACACAGCATATTAGTTGATTTACACTACTGCATAATGTGAAAACACTCACTGTCTTTGTCTTGAGACACCCGGTGATAGAGAGTGATATTTAAGCAAGGGTTTGAAAGTCATTCTTCTTTTTCTGAACTCTCATAAATACTGTCAGATAAAGTTACAACTTTTGTGTTCCCAGTCAAAAGTGAACATTCTATTTGGGTCCAAAGAAACTTATCCTCAAACTGCAGCTAACAGTGTAAATAAAAATCCAATATTCCCTGAACTTTCTTGTCCCCCCTTGTGCCCACAGGTATGTTGCTGTGCAGAGTTGACATCAGTAGCATTTTTCCATTTCTTTTTTACAGTAGGACAAAAATGTGTTTCTTTATTGCTGTGGTTAATTTTTGTGTTGCAGCCCCTAACCAACCAGATGAAAAAATTATCATGTTATGTTATGTTTCTTAGGACATGCAGTCATCTCCAAACCACATGCTGTCTGCAGGAACACCTTTCATGGTCTCCTACAAATTGCATGTTCGATTTCCCTCCGTGCAGACAGTTCTCGGTCCCTGGACATTTCTCTTAGGCAACCCAGCTCACCTTGTCTGTGGATTCACATGTGTAAACTCTCTGTGTTTTTCTATGCCAGACCAGCCTGCTAACCACCTGTCGCTCTAAGCCTCCATTCTCTTAAGTATTTGCTGTTGATAAAACTTGTAACACTTCCTCCCTGTGTCCAGCTCTTGATGTCAGAAGTTAAGATTAAAGTTATATGCTTAAAAACCAAAGCCCATTCCACAGTAACTTCGACTCTTGATCCACAATCAAAACTCAACCCAATCTCCATGAAAGAACACATCCTTGTCGTGAAGCTTTTCATGGTATGTCCATGATTATTTTTAACTCAATGTCAAACTACTCTGCATACATATTTTTCAGATCATGTCAAGGTTACTTACATAGTTAAACTTCCTCGGGGCAGGGTCTTAAAATAGGGACAAGCTGTGATAAATGGAAATGATGCAGAGTTTGTTTACTAGTTTGTGTTTTTGTCAAAGAGTCCAATTGAGACACAGCAGCTCAAAATATGTTTAATGTGTAACAGGGGGTGTGGAGTGTGGCTGACTATTCAGTTGATTTTTGGATTTTTGGATCCTAGTGAAGGAGACTGGCTGGGGACCAATGGTGTAGCATCAAGGTTTTTTTTAACAGTTCAGTTATTTATATGAAGAAAGACTTAGCTGTTAAACACTTACTTGACTCTCTTGTCAGCTAAAACTAAACTCTCACTCCACTTCAGGTGCGAAACTTCAGGGGGGCAAAAGAGGAAACAGGAAGTGATGAGAGCAAACTGGAGTTGTAGCCGATGCAGATCAGCAGGACCGAGCTGACTTCAGAGGAAAGAAGGAGTGAGTGGTTTTACTGTGGGCAACATGGACATCTCATCAACACCTGTCCAGGGTGCCCACAAGTTTCTTCGAACTTCTTCAAGACACATAGTTCTTTATTTTGATGACACCTTGAGGCAAACTTATTTGCCATTTCTGCTATGAAACAGTAACTAAAAAAACAATCACCTAACTCAACATTGAAAGCTAAATTCTGTTATTCAAATTTCTTCACTATTGCAGCGGAGAATGTTTACCTACATCAATCATGTTTGAGTTGAACCAAAAACAAGCACTGACTGTTCAGTATTAACATATATACAAGGCCTTTAGGCCAACAAAGCTCTATCAGTAACATTAACTCCTACTGACTTTGTGCTGGTTGGTTGCTGTAAAAGCAGGAGCTGCCAAAGGGTCTGATAAAGAGGAAGTGTTTACAAACTGTTGGCAGGATACCTAATTTTATATAACCCAGACCACAGGAAATGGATGTCTCAACGGAAACTGCTAATAAAGAGTACACTGGGAATTGTTTTGTCTGTGAAACCTGATTCCTTTGGTTTAAATTAAATAAGTATTTGTATTGGAAACAGACTCTAACAGATCACTGTGACAGCTATGGCTACTTTGACTACTGGGGGAAAGGAACACAAGTCACAGTAACTTCTGGTAAGTGATCTTGTCATGTATTTTGAGTTAGTGAAATCCTATATTTAGCTGATTATTTAGAGTATTAAATAAAATCTTGGTTATATTTTGCATCTAATGTTATAGTGTAATATCTGTGTAAATGATAGGTAATAGTTTCTCGGTTTAGTGTAATCACCTTTGAAATGACACAAGTAGCTGGCAAAATATTTTTTGCACTTAAGTGCAATTGAAATCTGTCACTGTGATGACTACTTTGACTACTGGGGAAAAGGAACAACTGTGACTGTCACAACAGGTAAAAAATATATGTATTTTTTCCGTTCTATGAAAAATTTAATAACACTTTTTAAATCGTTGTATTTAGGGTTTTAAAGGCACATGTTTTTGTATGTTGGATATGTTGAGTTATTACACTGTGAACGCTGCTTTTGATTACTGGGGAAAAGGAACCACGGTCACTGTCACAACAGGTAAAAAAGGCTTTTGTCTTCATATTATAAATGTGGTTCTTTTAGAGGCATTTTGGGGTTTTTTGTTTGGTTGGTTTTTCGACATTAGTGGGACCATGAGAGTCTTTAAGGTGCTTGTTTTTGTATGTTCAATGTGTTAATGTCTTATACTGTGACAATGCTTTTGACTACTGGGGAAAAGGCACAATGGTCACTGTCACAACAGGTAAGATGAGCTTTCTGACTTAATTTTAATACTAAAAATACAAAACTTTCACTGTTAATTTGGCATATTTAGAACTTGGAGGTGGTTGTTTTTGTATGTCGGATATGATGAAATTTTACACTGTGACCACGCTTTTGACTACTGGGGGAAAGGCACAATGGTCACGGTTACATCAGGTAAAATGATTCATTTCTTTCTCATAATGTTAAGATTTAAATTTAAAGACTGTGTTGTTGTTCTTTCAAAGAAAAAATGTTTTTCAAACTAATTTCTATAGTATTACAAGCCTATAATTTGTACTCTCAGTTTAATCTTTGATGGTATTATTTTTAAGAATTCAGAATCTCAATTTGCAAAAAATGAGAGTATTCCAGATTTTTTGGTTATCGTAAAATAATATGGAAAAACGCAGAAAAATGTGAACAGGTTTTTGTATTGAGTGGTAAATAATTATTTAGATTGTGGCCATTCTTTTGACTACTGGGGAAAAGGCACAATGGTCACTGTCGGTTCAGGTATGAATTTTAACATTATTCTTATAACTAACTTGTTTTTCCTGCTTAATTATATAAAATCTGACAAAGAATTGGCACAAAAAAGAAAGAACCTTGTATTTCTTTCTCTTTAATTTGCTTAGAAAATAATTATATAAGCAGTTATTTAGTTGAGAGTGATTCAAATTATTTCCAAAGTTAAATGATGTCACCAAGTAATGCCATATCACAGAAGTTAGTTTTTGTGAGAGGTGTGAAAAGACTCTGTTAACTGTGATAACTGGGCTTTTGACTACTGGGGGAAAGGTACAATGGTTACAGTAACATCAGGTAAGGTGATCTAATTCTTTCACTTTAATTTTAAGATTTTCATTTAAATTTTGATTTTTTTTAAAGAAATGTTGTGGTTGTGAGAAAATTCAATACCGTCATTTGTAGACTGAGAGAAAAATGTCTTATAGTTTACAGACTTGGTTTAAATGGTGGTGAAAATCAGGTTTTGTACAGTCTTTTGAATCTCTTTATATTAACTATAAGGAAAATATATCAGATTGTAGATTGTTATAAGATGGAGTGTGAGGTTTTGGTATGCAGTTGTCAGTAAGTTGTTAAACTGTGACTACGCTTTTGACTACTGGGGGAAAGGTACAATGGTTACAGTAACATCAGGTAAGGTGATCTAATTCTTTCACTTTAATTTTAAGATTTTCATTTAAATTTTGATTTTTTTTAAAGAAATGTTGTGGTTGTGAGAAAATTCAATACCGTCATTTGTAGACTGAGAGAAAAATGTCTTATAGTTTACAGACTTGGTTTAAATGGTGGTGAAAATCAGGTTTTGTACAGTCTTTTGAATCTCTTTATATTAACTATAAGGAAAATATATCAGATTGTAGATTGTTATAAGATGGAGTGTGAGGTTTTGGTATGCAGTTGTCAGTAAGTTGTTAAACTGTGACTACGCTTTTGACTACTGGGGAAAAGGCACGACAGTCACCGTCACATCAGGTACGAATTGTTATATTTCTTCCTAAAGAGAGAAATTCCTGATCCCCCGTTACAATACAATGTATTCATTTTCATTTGTTTACAACTATAATGATAAATTTGATAAAATAAGTACTTATATCAAAAAAAATTGTAGTTTGTTACAGAATATGTAAAAAAAAAAGAATTTCAGACCAATTGTGAGTAATAAAAATCCTTAAGTAAGAGTATCAAATGTTTTGTGTGAAGTATGAAAACTATCTATTAAGTATATCAAATGGTTTTTAGACTTAGAAAATGGCTCTCCAGTTACAGCATCATCAGTTAAGTTATGTCTCCATTGGATACAAGTTATAATTTAACGTAATATTTTCTCAGTGAATTGTGTTCATATACATTTGCTAAAAAAAATGTGATATTGTCAAAATTGGCTTTAACAGATAGCGTATTTTGGGTGATTTGATAGGATTTTATAATCTTCTTCTTAATGACTGTTGAAGTAGACCTTTTGCGTATCATTAATAGCTTAGCCTTTTTATACTAAGAACTAAGTATATTCAGTACTGTGCTACGGTGCTTTTGACTATTGGGGAAAGGGGACAACAGTCACTGTTTCATCAGGTAAGTAAACCATTTCATCTCAAACATCAATGCTAAAGTGGAATCAAATTTAATGTGTTCTTAAAATAATTTGCCATCAGCACTGTGAAAGGAAGTTTACCGACTTTATGTTATTTTTTTATTTTATTTCTGTTTTCTTGTGATTGATTTTTGTCCATATTATGCATTTAAAATAATTTACAAAAAGGTGTGGTGTAGACTACTATAGAAGTGACACTTATTAATATATAATAATGTTATATAACACTAATGGAGAGTATTTAACAAAATAGGATTCGGGGCATTTGAAATACTAAACATTTAAAATGTAAGGTCTTTCACAATAGACTTTATTATAGATCACAATCATCTCGTTTTTTCTTTAAACAATTCTAAGTGAAAATGTGTGGTATATTATTGTATTTCTATTCTGGTATCTTAATTACTGTTGTCTCCCCTTTCTTAGCCGCTTCAACTGCACCCACTGTGTTTCCTCTGGTACCATGTGGCACTGAGAGCGGAGATATGGTCACTCTTGGCTGCCTTGCCACTGGCTTTAACCCTCCTGCGGTGACTTTCTCGTGGACAAAAGGCAGCACTGCCTTGACAGACTTCATCCAGTACCCTGCAGTACAGAAAGGCAATGTTTATACTGGAGTCAGTCAAGTCCGAGTGAGGAAACAGGACTGGAATCCACAACAGAATTTCCAATGTGTTGTGACTCACGCTGCTGGGAATGCACAGGCTGATGTCAGACCAACACGTAAGCCTTATGCTAATTCACATTTAATCAGTTTATCTTATTCTATTTGACTTATAACAAGTTTACATGAAAGCTCTGTGAACATATACAAAACTAAACAATTTGAATGAATTTGCACATAAATGCACAGGCTGATATTGTTATAGTCTGTAAGATTTTTGTTAAGTCATTTAATTTCCTTTTCTTTGGTTATTTGAACTCTTGATACATCACATACATAATACATTGCTACAGTAAACTTCAGTGCA